TCACATACAGGGGTCAAGTCCCAGCCCCTCCGCCTTCAGACCCAAGAATCCAAACCCCCAGTCCCTCCTCCCTCAGATCCAGAAATACAGGTCCCCAGCCACTCCTCTCTCAAATTCCGGAGTCCAGGCCCAGCTCCTCCCCACTCAGACCCAGGAGTCCAGACCCCCCGACCTCCTCCTCCCTCAGACCCCGAAGTCCAGACCCCAACCTCCTCCTCCCTTAGACCAGGAGTCCAGGCCCCCAGCCCCTCCTCACTCGGACTCGGGAGTCTGGACCGCAGCACCTCCACCCTCAGACCCAGGGGTACCGGCCCAAGTGCTTCTACCCTCAGACCCAAAAGTCCAGGCCCCTAGCCCCTCCTCCCTCAGACCCAGGAGTCCAGACCCTGACCTCCTCCTCCCTCAGACCCGGGAGTCCAGGCCCCCAGTACCTCCTCCCTCACACCCGGGAGTCCAGACCCCGACCTCCTCCCTCAGACCCGGGAATCCAGGCCCCCAGCCCCTCCTCCCTCACACCCGGGAATCCAGGCCCTCAGCCCCTCCTCCCTCAGACCCAGGAGTCCCAAGACTCACGTCACCCCCGAAGTCCGTCTCAGCAGGAGGACCACCATTAAAATACCTGTGAGGGTCGGAGGTGAAAGGTCGGAGTCAGGCCAGAAGCTGTGGGAAACTCTAGTGGGAGGGCGGGGTTCGAGTCGCGGAAACGGCACTCACTCGATGGCCGGGAGCAGGTAGTGCTTGCGGAGCCCTTCGAAGTAGGGTCCCAGGTTGGCCGTACCCTCAATCACAAACACCACGTCGGCCACGAGGCCCCCGGCGCGGGCCGGGCCCTCGGACCCGGGGACCATACCCCGCGCGGAGGCCGCCACCGCCACTGCCGCCGCAGCCGACACCGCGGAATGAGGGGAAATGCGCCTGCGCTGCGCGCGCACCCGCGCCGGGCGGTTGAGGGCTGCTGGGAACGCACGGGCGGCCATATTTGTGCGGGGCACAGGTTGAGGCTTCGATCTAGCTCCATCCTCCTTCGCCCTAACCCGTGGAAGACTCAGCAAGGACATAGTTAGCCCTTTTGGGGGGCCTGATGGGTTAGACAAAATCATTGTCAGGATTGTCAAGAACGAAATAAGTTGAAGGCGGCACAGTCGGCTGCCATCTTTGAGCGGGGCGTCTGGGCCCGCCTATTAGCTCAATGGGAGGGGCAGGAGACCTGGTTGCTATGCAACACTAACGCTGCCCTTGTTTTCTTTTTCCTTTATCCTTTTTTCCCCCCCCCCCCCCCCCCCCACGAGACGGACTCTCACTCTGTCGCCCACCCTGGAGGGGAACGGCGCGATCTCGGCTTACTACAAGCTCCGCCTCAGCCTCAGCCTCCCCAGGAGCTGGGATTACAGATGCCCACCACCATGCCCCGCTAATTTTTGTATTTTTCGTAGAGACGGAGTTTCACCATGTTGACCAGGCTGTCTCGAACTCCTGACCTCAAGTGATTCGCCAGCCTTGGATTCCTAAAGTGCTGGGATTACAGGCGTGAGCCACTGCGCCCGGCCCGCTGCCCTTGTTTTCTAACCATGAGATTAAGTTTCTGGTTCTGTTCTTTCGGGCGCGGGGACTGGGGGGAGGGACGCGAGAAGGGTCCAATCGCAATGGCGGAAACGAGGTTACTAGGCAACGCTTTAAGGTTGCCCTTAACTTGGAAGGGAGGATAGTAGTTTTCCTCCTGAAAAGAAGCTGAACACGAACCCAAGTGCAAGGGTTACTAAGCAACACCTGAGCGTTGTTTTCCGGGCGAGGAGCCAGAAACTAGCCTAGAACATAAATACATTCCAGGTGGATTAAGAACATAAGTGCAACAAATAAAACACGAAAATAGCTGAAGGAAAAAAATCCTAATGACTGCCATGAAGTTTCTCAGCAAAGTCAGAATACGTAAAATATTAATTTGTCCGCAAAAGATTGCATAAAGCAAGTTGAAACATATACCACGAACTGGAAAAATCTAGCGTGTTTGTTGACAGAAATGTACTACACAAATCTTACCGATGAATAACAGTATAGAAAAATAGAAACACTTCATTGTTTTTTTTAAAATTTTATTTTTTGAGACAGGGTCTCTGTTGTGCAGGCTGGAGTGCAGTGGCCATTGCAATCTTGGCTCATTGCAGCCTCTATTTCTCACACTGAAGCCACTGTCCTGCCTCTGCAGCAGCTAGGACCACAGCCACGCACCACCACTCCTGACTAATTTTTAATTTTTTTGTAGAGGTGGGGTCTCGCTATGTTGCCCTGGCCTGTTTCAAACTCCTGGGTTGAAGCGATACTCCCGCCTTGGCCTCCCAAAGAGCTGGGATTACAGGCGTGAGCCATGGTGTCCTGCTACTTTATATCTTTTTTTTTTTTTGAAACAGAGTTTCGCTCTTGTTACCCAGGCTGGAGTGCAATGGCGCGATCTTGGCTCACCGCAACCTCCGCCTCCTGGGTTCAGGCAATTCTCCTGCCTCAGCCTCCTGAGTAGCTGGGATTACAGGCACGCATCACCATGCCCAGCTAATTTTTGTATTTTTAGTAGAGCCGGGGTTTCACCATGTTGACCAGGATGGTCTCGATATCTTGACCTCGTGATCCACCCGCCTCGTATATTTCTTTTAATAGAAAGGAACCTGACCAGGGCCGCACATCGTGGTTTACGCCTGTAATCCCATGACTTTGGGAACCGAGGTGCGCAGATCATGAGGTCAGGAGCTCGAGACCATCCTGGCCAATATGGTGAAATCTCGTCTCTACTAAAAATACAAAAATTAGCCGGCATAGTGGTGGGTGTCTGTAATCCCAGCGACTCAGGAGGCTGAGGTAGGAGAATCGCTTGAAACTGGGAGGGGGAAGTTGCAGTGAGGCGACATCGTGCCACTGCCCTCCAGCCTGGCGATAGAGCCAGATTCCATCTCAACAACAAAAAAAAACCATAATCTTCACCAATTGAAAAGTGCTTGCAGAAAGCCCAATGATATACCATTTTATCTTTATCATGTTACATTTTTTTTTTTCCACAAAAATATCACTCTGTCACCCAGGCTGGAGTGCAGTGGTGCTGTCTCGGCTCACTGCAGCCTCTGCTTCCTGGGTTGAAGTGATTATCCTCCCTCAACCTCCTAAGTAGCTGGGACTACAGGTATGCGCCACCACACCCCGCAAAAGTTTGTATTTTTGGTAGAGACAAGGTTTTACCTTCTTGGCCAGGCTGGTCTTGAACTCCTGACCTCAGGGGATGCACCTGCTTTGGCCTCCTAGAGTGCTAGAATTACAGGTGTGAGCCACTGCACCCAGCCTCCTGAAGCTTTTTTTTTTTTTTTTTTTTTTTGAGACTCTGTCTCAAGACAAAAAAAAAAAAAAAAAGAGAGAGAGTCTTACTTGCTGAAGCCTTTTAAAGCAAATCAGTACAATCATATCATTTTACCCCTGTGTGCTTGGCAGGCATCTTTCCAATTTTATGAAAATATTTTTACATAACTAGTATGCCATTGTCACCTGTAACAAAATTAACTTGTTCCTTAGTATCATCTAAGTGTGTCATCGAATGTTCCAATTGTCCCAAAATGTGTTTTTACAACTGCTTGATTTGTATCAGGATCCAGACAAAGACCATACACATATTTAGACATCATGTCTCAAGTTTATTTTAATCTAGAACAGCTCCGTCCTTTTTTATGCCTGGGTAACTAAATTTTTAATAAAGATATAAAGAAAAGTGGCCGGGCACGGTGGCTCACGCCTATAATCCCAGCACTTTGGGAGGCCAAGGCGGGTGAATCACGAGGTCAAGAGATCGAGACCATCCTGGTCAACAGGGTGAAACCCCGTCTCTACTAAAAATACAAAAAATTAGCTGGGCACGGTGGCGCATGCCTGTAATCCCAGCTACTCGGGAGGCTGAGGGAGGAGAATTGCCTGAACCCAGGAGGCGGAGGTTGCAGTGAACTGAGATCACGCCATTGCACTCCAGCCTGGGTAACAAGAGCGAAACTCCATTTCAAAAAAAAAAAAAAAAAAGATCAATAGGCATAAAGGAAGATTAAAATGATATCTAGGCCAGGTGTGGTGGCTCCAGCCTGTAGTCTCCGCACTTTGAGAGGCCAATGTGGATGGCCTTGAGCCCAGGAGTTTGATAGCAGCCTGGGCAACATGGTGACACCCCATCTCTACAAAAAATACAAAAATTAGTCGGACATGGTGGTGCACACCTGTAATCCCAGCTACTCAGGAGGCTGAGGCAGGAGAATCGCTTGAACACGGGAGGCAGAGGTCGCAGCGAGCCGAGATCACGCCACTGTACTCCAGCCTGGGCGACAAAGCGAGACCCTGTCCCTTCCCCCAACCCCCCTTAAAAAGAAAGAAAACAATGTACTTTAGGAAGTAGAAAAGTTAAAAATTATGCTAGAAAGATGGGTTAATTTGCAAGAAGGACGAGGAAGGGCAAAATGAATCATAAACACATTTATAATTATAAGTAAACACTACCTGTATAAAATAATAAAAATATTTACAAGGGCATCTTAAAAAGTCACTAGTTGGCCGTCACTAGTTGGCCGGCACTAGCTGTTTAGTCCAGAGGCGTTCAACAACCTAATGTACATCAATACAGAATTGGTCAAATCAATTTGTTATAACCATAAAATAGATTATAAAATTACATTATTAAGATGAAACAGACATACTTTTTATGGGAAAAAATATGGAAATGTTGATATACTAATATTTGTGAAAACATTAATATTGTACGTTATATTGTATTTTAGGAAAAAAATTGGGGATGGGATATCTTCACATTGCACATGGTATGTTATCATGCATAATTCATTGCACAAATAATGTTATTTTTATCATTCTGGAAAATAAAGGATTTCCTTGTTTTCTTTTTTCTAATAACAAAAACAACCATCTATTTTGTTGGTTACTAGGCAACGCTCGCCGGACTCAACCACCCTCGAAAGTTGGGAGGGGAGACGGTGTTTTTCTAGATTTCGCCCTAAGGTGGGGTGGTCGGACTTCGATGTGCCGCCATCTTTGAGTAGGGCACAGCCGTTTACAGCCTTGGGAATGGAAATTAGACTGAATGGTGGTTGCTTGGCAACGCCCCACGGTCGCCGCTTTTGAGTAGGGCATACTGTTTACTACTACAAAATGGAAACGTAGACGGAATGTGGTTGCTAGGCAACGCCTTGGGACCGTGGCAATCTTTGATCGCGGCACAACTGTTTTTTTCCGTTTAGAATGTAAATCATCAAAGCCTACAGGATGGTGTATAAGCAAGGCCTTTGCGCAGTCATCATCTTCAATCCGGCCTCTTGGGTCTCCCTACCTCCTCGGAGAAACTGAAAAGCTTTGCAAATTCAATTAGCCGCCATCTTTGTTAGGGGTACTATAACTTCCGGCTGGGGCGGAAGAGAACCTAACAGGTTTGGGGGAGGTGCCTAAATAGGGTTTGAGGGTCCGAGTTGGATGAAGAAGGCGGGAAGTTAATCCTGTTCCAGTCAGCTCCCCATCTCGCCCTCTGGCGGCTCCCGACCACAGGCCGAGTTACTGTGATTGCCGGCATGCTCCAAGACCGGCACTGACAGTCCCCACGTGGGGGGCTGCGGTGGGAGTCCTAAATGGGGGAGGAAGGGACGGGCGGCACCGTGCATCTGCTGTGCCTCGCGGCCTCCAGCGGGGTCCCCCTGTTCTGCAGGAGCAGCCGCGGCGGCGCCCCCGCCCGTCAGCAGGTGGGGCCTTGGACGCCTGTATCTAAACCGAAGGGGGTTCGGTGTTTTGGGTCTTCAAGGCAGTAGGGGCTGGGGAAGTTTCAGTATTGAGTTTGTAGGACCGAGGAGACAATGGACCAGTAATCCTGGTTCCCCAAAGAGACACTGCCAGGACATAGGGAAAGAGGATGGGGCTGGGAGCTGGCATACGTGGGTTCCAAAAAGGAGGGGATGGCCGGGGGAGGGGGGCTACTGTCTGATGTCCCTAACTCCTCCTTAGCTCCCGTTCTCTGTCATCGGTTCCCTCAATGGAGTCCACATGTTCGGGCAGAATCTGGAGGTGCAGCTGAGCTCTGCAAGGACCGAGAATACGACCGTGGTGTGGAAAAGCTTCCATGACAGGTCCCCAGGCGGGAACATGGGACAGGGACAGGGCCTGGGTTATAGTCTTTGTAGAAGATGACCTCTGAGGTCTTCCAGCTGTTAATTTGGCTATGGGATCTTTAGCAAGCTAGTTACCTCTTTGATCCCCGCTGTTCTCTATAAGAAAGGCCGAGGGAGGATGTATCTGGCATTCTAGGATCAGTGGGCAGACTCCAACATACCCCTTCCTGGTTCCCCAGGCCTTGACTCGTTCTTCCTTCTCACTTCCACTCCACAGCATCACCCTCATTGTTCTGTCATCTGAGGTGGGCATCTCTGAGCTGAGGCTGGAGAGACTACTACAAATGGTGTTTGGAGCCATGGTGAGAATCCCCAATCCTCTTTTCTCCCCAGACCAGGAATCTGAGATCTCAGCATCCAGCATCCTTTTCCCTCAGACCTAGGAGTCCAGACCACCAAAGTTCACTTCCTCCCTCAAAAACCAGAAATGTTTTTTTGGGTTCAGGCAATTCTCCTGCCTCAGCCTCCTGAGCAGCTGGGATTACAGGCACGCGCCACCATGCCCAGCTAATTATTTCTATTTTTAGTAGAGACGGGGTTTCACCATGTTGACCAGGATGGTCTCGATCTCTGGACCTTGTGATCCACCCGCCTTGGCCTCCCAAAGTGCTGGGATTACAGTCTTGAGCCACCGCGCCCGGCCTTTTTTTTTTTTTTTTGAGATGGAGTCTTGCTCTGTTGCCCAGGCTGGAGTGCAGTGGCCTGATCTTGGCTCACTGCAACCTCTGCCTCCCAGGTTCAAGTGACTCTCATGCCTCAGCTTCCTGAGTAGCTGGGATTACAGGTACATACCACCATGCCCAGCTAATTTTGGGGGGTTTTTTGTTTTTTGAAGACGGGGTTTCACCATGTTGGTCAGGCTGGTCTTGAACTCCCACCTCAGGTGATCCGCCTGCCTTGGCCTCCAAAGTGCTTGGATTACAGGTGTGAGCCACCAGGCCTGGCCTTTTTGTATTTTTTGTAGAGATGAGGTTTCACCATGTTGGCTAGGCTGATTTGAAACTCCCAACCTCAAGTGATCCGTGCATCTCGGCCTCCCAAAGTGCTGGGATTACAGGCATGATCCACCGCGCTCTGCCAGAACCCAGGAATCTTGACCCCCAAGACCCAGGAGTGGGAGTCCCAGCCCCCTCTTCCTTCAGACCCAGGAGTTTGAGTCCAAGCCCCTCCTCTCTGAGAACCAGTTGCCCAGGGCCCTTTCCCCCCTTATGTGGTTCTTCTAGGTCCTTCTTGTGGGACTTGAAGAACTGACCAATATCCGCAACGTGGAGAGACTGAAGAAGGACTTAAGGGTGAGGCTGCAGGACATGAGGGTGGGAAGTTAGGATACCTGAGCACTGCCATTTGGAAACTACAGTTCCCAGCAGTCCCTGGGGCAGCCTGGTCCCACAGGTTCTTGGGGCAAGTTGGTTGTCTGACCCTGGCCCTGGGTCCACCTGAATCCTAGGCTGGTCCCTTCTTCCTCTGCTAGGCCAGTTACTGCCTGATCGACAGCTTCCTAGGGGATTCGGAGCTCATCGGGGACCTGACCCAGTGTGTAGACTGTGTGATTCCTCCAGAGGGGACCCTCTTGCAGGTACTGGGGATGCTATGGAAACTCTTACACCTGTTCCTCTGGCCCTGGCTGAGTCCTCATCCTCTTTCTTCTGGACCATTGTCCCAACCTTCTCCTATCCTCTCAGCTTCCAGTCCTGTCCCACATGGTCCCAGAAGAATCTTTCTTTTCCTTTTTTTTTTTTTTGAGACAGAGTCTCGCACTGTCGTCCATGCTATAGTGCAGTGGTGAGATCTCGGCTCACTGCAGTCTCTGCCTCCTGGGTTCAAGCCATTCGCCTGCCTCAGCCTCCCAAGTAGCTGGGACTACAGGTGTGTGCCACCATGCCCAGCTAATTTTTTAGTAGGGATGGTATTTCACCATGTTGGCCAGGATGGCCTCGATCTCCTGACCTTGTGATCCTCCCACCTTGGCCTCCCAAAGTGCTGGGATTACAGGCGTGAGCCACCATGCCTGGCCTTTTTCTTTCTTGTTTCACTCTTATTGCCCAGGCTGGAGTGCAATGGCACAATCTCAGCTCACTACAGCCTCTGCCTCCAAGGTTCAAGTAATTCTTCTGCCTCAGCCTCCCGAGTAGCTGGGATTACAGATGCTTACTGCCACGCCTGGCTAATTTTTTGTATTTTTAGTAGAGATGGGGTTTCGACATGTTGGCCAGGCTGGTCTCAAACTCCTGACCTCAAGTGATCTGCCTGCCTCAGCCTCCCAAAGTGCTGGGATTACAGGCATGAGCCATTGTGCCTAGCTATCTCTCTTTTCTAAGATAGGATCTTGCTCTGTGGTCCAGGCTGGAGCGCAGTGGCTCCGTCATAGCTCACTGAAACCTTGAATTCCTAGATTCAAGTGATCCTCTCATCTCAGCCTCCCCAGTAGCTGAGACTACAGGCACGTGCCACCACATTCAGCTACTTTTTTTTTAAGAGATGGGCTGGGGTTGGGGACAGTTGTCTCACTAAGTTGCCCAGGCTGGTCTCAAACTCCTGGGCTCAAGAAATCCTCCCACCTTGGCCTCCAAAGTGCTAGGATTACAGGTGTGAGCCATCACAGCCTGCCACCAGAAGAATCCTACTATACCCAGAGCTGGCCCTACCCCTTTCCTGCTGACAGCCCTCTGGCAGCCTCCACCTTCCCAAGGACCAGGTCCAGCCCCTCAGCCTTGTGTTTGAAGGCCTGTGGCACATGGCGCCCCCTAGCCTGTTGCTAAATCCACAATCTACCTTCATCCAGCTGCCTCAGGGGCCCCAGAGATCCCAACAACTTTCCAGTCTGGGTACATGCTCTTCCTCCCACCTCTCGGATCTCTAGCTTCCACTGCTTAAATACCGCTCTTTCAGACTTGCCTGGTGTGGGCACCTCCCAACAGTGTGACTTCTCAGCAGGTGACTTGGCTTCTCCACGTTGCTGATGGTGCTTACCGGGCATGTAACAGGACTCTATGAACGGTAGCTGCTGCAGTTACGTTAATTAGCTTCAGTTTGCCCACTAAGGCTAGGCGGTTTTTTTTTAAGATGGAGTCTCGCTCTGTCACCAGGCTGGGGTGCGGTGGCACAGTCTCGGCTCACTGCAACCTCCGCCTCCCAGGTTCAAGCGATTCTCGTGCCTCTGCCTCCCACGTAGCTGGAACTACAGGTGTGCACCACCACACCCAGCTAATTTTTGTATTTTTAGTAGAGATGGGGTTTTATTCTGTTGGCCAGGATGGTCTTGATCTCTTGACCTCGTGATCCACCCGCCTTGGCCTCCCAAACTGCTGGGATTACAGGCGTGAGCCACCGAGGTCCGGCCCAGGCGAGGTGTTTAATCAGACTTCACAGTGTGAGCTGGGGATGTGACTTCGTGTGAAGATGAAGGAACTCAGGCTCTGAGAGGGTGAGGTGCAGCAGCATGGCCACTCCGCGAGCTCGGCTGGCCGTGGGTCTCTGTCCATCCCCTGCCCACCTGGGAAGTCGCTGCCGCCGCCTGTGCGTCTCTGCTGACTCCTGGTCCTCCTGCCTCCCTTACCCAGGAAGCCCTCTCCGGGTTCGCTGAGGCAGCGGACACGGCCTTCGTCAGTCTGGTGGTGTCGGGCCGGGTGGTGGCGGCAACAGAGGGTTGGTGGCGGCTGGGGATGCCCGAGGCCGTGCTGCTCCCCTGGCTGGTGGGGTCCCTGCCGCCGCAGACCGCTCGCGACTACCCGGTGTACCTGCCGCACGGGAGCCCCACGGTGAGTGGGTGGGGCGGGCAGGGGGAGGTGAGCGGAGGGATGGGACCTGCGGACCAAGTCGCGAGGAGGCGGGATCTGCGATGGAAAGGGCCGGGGCCGCGGTCAGTCCCAGCCTGTGCCCTGCTTCAGATCCCACACCGGCTCCTGATGCTGACGCTGCTGCCAAGCCTGGAGCTGTGTCTGCTCTGCGGACCGAGCCCACCCCTCAGCCAGTTGTATCCACAGGTGAACCCGCTCCACGTCCCGCTTTCCCCCTTAGGACACTCTCTACCCGCAAGGCCCTTACCCCACCACGCTGCCCTGCCAGTGGCTTTTTTCCCGGACCCGTCCTGGACTGCGCGCCAATCAATTCCCCAAGATCGGCCAATCACGCGTGGCCTCTGTGCTTGCAAGCCTCGCCCCTTCCCTAGTCCCCTCTGCCCTCCGCCCTCCTCTTTTCGTGTACGCCCCACCCCTCCCGATTGACCGCGCCCCTTCGTGCCTCTTCCCCCCGCCCCCCGCCGGCTCCGCCTTCCCATGACCACACCCCCCCCTCCCCCCCGCAGCTTCTGGAGCGCTGGTGGCAGCCGCTGCTGGACCCGCTGCGGGCCTGCCTGCCGCTGGGACCCCGAGCGCTGCCCAGTGGCTTCCCACTCCACACAGACATCCTCGGGTAGGGCTCGGATGGAGGGATTGTGTTGGGGATCATGTCCTCTTCCCTAGCCATGACATCCCTTCCCTTTCCCACAGGCTGCTGCTCCTCCATCTGGAACTGAAACGCTGCCTCTTCACTGTGGAGCCCTTGGGGAATAAAGGTGACTGAGGGCAGGGACAGGGTCAGGAGGGGCGCGGGCCGAGGAGGGGCTCTGCATCACTGCCTTTTCCTCCCCGCAGAGCCTTCCCCAGAACAGCGCCGGCGCCTCCTCCGAAACTTCTACACCCTGGTCACCTCCACGCACTTCCCACCAGGTGAGCGGCAGGCACAGTGCTACTGCGCAAGCAGGACACCGAGTCCCAGGTGGCACAAAGTGGGAGTAGGAGGTGGGGTTGGAGGAACCGGAGGAACCCAGCATGCCTGGGCCATGGGGCAGTGGTTTTCCTTGAGATCTGAGCATTGACCTGGAGAAGGGAGGGGAAGGGAAATTCCTGCCTGGCTTCAGAACCTCCTGGGTCATAGTTAACAATAATTAGTACTGAGATCTCACCTCTGGCCAGTGCCTTTATAGGTAATAAAAGAATGAAATTACTTCATCCCATCATTCCCATTTTACAGATGAGAAAACTGAGGCCCAGCTCATAAATGGTAGAGCCGTATTTGAACACAGGGTATCTGGCTCCCATAGCCACAGTCCAGTACTCTGCACTACTGCCGAAAGCACAGGCTTTGCTGACAGGCTGGGGGGGATGGGGGAGGATTTCACAGATTCTGGGTTAGAAAGGAAAAATTGTCATAGAACCCATTAAGGCCCCAGAGAGAAAAAGGAAGGGATCTGGGATGCCACCACGATCCCAGTGAGGCCCGATTAATGCAGCACAGTGGTCAAGAGCTCCATCTCAGGAGGCTGCACCCCTTCCTAGCTGTGTGACTCCACCTCTCCCTGCCCCTGCCGGCCTCCCTCCACCTGCCTGGAACAGTGGGGTGGGTAGCTCCTGGAGGCGGCTACTGGAGCTCCTGTGTTGCTGCTGTGTTTGCCATGTGTATTGCTAAGAGGATGGTCCATGGCTGCACAGTTTCCCCAGGAAAATGAGGGCCAAGGAAGAGAAAGAGGAAGAGGATGAGCTGAGCAAGAGTCATGGTCTTCAGGTTGCTGATGGCCAGCTGGAGCCCTGAAGCCCTTCCCTGGCAGGAGGCTCCCAAAGCCTGTGCTCAGAGACCCCACGTGTTCAGAACTTGGACCCAGGATGGGGTGTGGCTTCCGAAAGTTAGCATGCTACTTGTCACCTCGATGCCTCCTGTCCTTTCCCCAGAGCCAGGGTCACCAGAGAAGACAGAAGATGCGTTCCACCAGGCCCAGCTGCCCAGAGCCTGCTACCTGGTGGTAGGGACTGAGGAACCAGGCTCAGGAGTGCGTCTGGTGGCCCTGCAGCTGGGGCTTCGGCGGCTGCTGCTGCTGCTGTCTCCCCAGAGTCCCACCCATGGGCTGCGAAGCCTAGCTACCCACACTCTGCATGCCCTCACCCCACTTCTTTGACTACCTAGCAGTGGGTGACGGACAGACATGGGGCTGTTAGCGTCTCTCTGTTTTTATTCGCTCACAATAATACACAGCCCCTGGGTGGGGAGGGGGTAGGAGGGGCTATGACAGGGTGGGGTGGGAGGGGAGGAGGCATCCACTTCCCTGGCCCCTCTCCCCTCTGTGCTTGGGGGGGGGAAGGGAGGGAGGGGACTCCCCCTGATCCCCCAGAATGTAAACAGCAGCAGATGAACAAAAATAAAAATACAAAAGGCTGGAGGAAGGTCCCAGGCATCCCCCAACCCCTGGGTCTTCTCTGTCACCAGTGGAGGTCCCCCATCCACCTCATCCACCAAAGTTGCCTCAGTCCAAGGGGCTGCCCGGTGCCGGCCACATCCCGGGGGGCAGAGTCCAGGGCTCAGAACTGCTGCGCCAGCAGCTCACACAGGTGACGGGAGACAGACTCCTTGCTGGTGCGCAGGGTCAGCCGGTACATCTGGGTCGGGGCATTGGGGGCAGAACTCAGAGGGATGGGGAGCCCAGGGAAGTGGGGACACAAGGGAGATAGAAGAAAGAAGGATAAAGGGGCCAGAAAGCCGATACAAGACACAAGAGAGAAGAAAGAATGAAATCAACAGAGGAGCCAGAGAGGAGGGAAATTATAAAAGATGAGGGGGAGAGAACGGTGGAAAGGTAGAAATCAGGGAGGGATGGAAGAGGAAAGGAAGACCCAGAGGATGGAGGCAGGAGAGAAGATTGATGGATTAAAGAGGAGAAAAAGTGGACAAAGAGACGCAAGAAGAGGAGGGTTAAAGCGGGAAACGTGAATTAAAGAACAGTGAGGCAGGTGGGGTGCGGCGCAGAGGGGACAGGCAGCCTTCCTGCCGGCCTCAGGCCGCCTACAGCAGCACTCACCTGGGCCTGGGCGTTAGGCTCCAGCCGGAGCAGACAGCCCACCTGGAGGGCTTTAGTCTGGATGATCCCCGCCCCCACGAAGTTCTCAGGGTTGGGATCCACATTGTCCAGGAGAGCAGAGCCAAACCCCAGGAGCTGGGAGGGAGAGGGGCCGCCGTCAGAGAGGACCAGAGCTGTTAGCTACCACACTGTGGCATCCCAGATCCCAAAAACCCTTGGGGATGGGAATTGGCCCCACTTTACAGATAGGAAAACAGAGACTCAGAGAAGCAAAGCGGCCATGGGCCGGCGAACACACCCGCGGTCTCTCACCTTGGCCTTAGTAACTTCTGCGTCCATGGGGTGGTTGGCTTTGAAGATTTTCTGCGCCTCCTGTTGAGGGCTGGAGACCAGGAAGGTTCAAGTCAGGGACCTGGGCGGCCCGGACCCGCCCACCCGGAGGCGCGGCTTTAGCTCCGCCCCCTCCCCACTCCTCACAGGCTCAGCTGCTTCCAGCGCTGGAAAAAATCCTGGGCCGCCATCTCTGTGGGCTGGAAGAACTTGTTGATGGTCACTGGGAGCTTCAGGGTGAGGGCTTGGGGAGCGCCACCGTACCTGGTGGGGTGGGGAGGAGGTTTTGTCAGGCCCCGCCCCCCGCCCGAGGCACCGCCCCCCCAGCCTAGCCGCGCCTGACTCACCGGAAGCGCACCGACAGCAGCGGGGGCGTCAGGAAGTCCCGCAGACACTCGATATTGAGCACCTGCTGCACCTGCGCGCCGCCGTCCACCTGCGCCGCCACGCGCTTGGTCTGCACAGCCAGCTGTGCACGGCAGGGGTCAAGGAAGCCAGACAGAGGAGGCGGGCCCTCGAGAGGTCTGGGTCAGGATCCCCAGAGTTCCCGGCAGCTCCCGCCTGCAGGCCTTTGAGGGACCCTACCATGCAATCCTGGACTCAATCCTACGAGGTTCAATTACAAAGTGCATACTGTGGAAACCTCGGGGTGCCTCCTTTGGCCCTCCTCAACATCGCACCACAATGAGACAAGAATATTGGCTCTGGAGGCAGATTTCGGTTTGAATACCAGCTCTTACCACCTGAGTGGCTGTGGGCAAGGCACTTAACCTCTCTTAGCCTCTGGACATGTGTAAGCCTGGGCAACATGACAAGACCCCATCTCTACAAAAAAATTAGCCGGGTGTGGTGATGTGTACCTGTGATCCCAACTACTCGGGAGGCTGAGGCAGGAGGATGCCTTGAGCCAGGTTCGAGGCCGAAGTGAGCAGTGTTCGTCCCACTGCACTCCAGCTTGGTGAGTGAGGCCCTGTCTCAACAAAAGGACACGTATAAAATGTCCTCAGGTGCTTCAAGGCTTAGCTTTCCAGATAAAGAAAAAAGAATAAAATGTCCTCAGGAGTTGATGAAATAAATAATCCAGCCAGTTGTGGTGGCTCACGCCTGTAATCCAGCACTTTGAGAGGCCGAGGTGGGGAGGATCACTGAGCCCAGGAGTCTGAGACCAGCCTGGGCAACATAGTGAGGCCCCATCTCTATAAAAATAGAAATAAAAAAGAAAGAATCCACTATAAGTACTTGTCTGTGTGCATGGCCCATGGCAGGTACACGAAGATGGTAGCAATTAGTGTCATCATCATCTGCGTCCACATCAGTAACCCACTGGACGGCCTGAGTCTCATGCTTCTCTCACCGCTGCCTCCACCCCGTGCCTGGCATGGAGCTGCCTGCTGGAAGCCTCTGGAAATTACGGAAGAAGGAGTATTGCTTTTGTTTGTCTGTTTTTGAGACAGGGTCTCACTCTGTCACCCAGACTAGAGTGCAGTGGTGTGATCTTGGCTTACCACAACCTCCGCCTCCCAGGCTCAAGCGATTCTCCTGTCTCAGCCTCCTGAGTAGCTGGGATTATAGCTGTGTGCCACTACCACTCAGCTAATTTTTGTATTTTTAGTGGAGATGGGGTTTCACCATGTTGGCCATGCTGGTCTCGATCTCCTGACCTCAAATGATCCACTGGCTTCCCAAAATGTTGGGATTACAGGTGTGAGCCACTATGCCTGGCCAGAAGTAGCAGTTTTGGGGTCAAGCACCTCTAGTTTCATGAATGTGGAAATGGAGGTCCACAAAAGGGGCAGGGGGAACTGATACCTCCAGCCACCCTTCCAGCATTATCCAGACACTGTGATCGTCCCAATAACCCTATGAGGAGGAAGAGGAGGGTCTACATACACTTCACAGTGGGGACAGGGGCCCAGAGAGGCAAAGTGACTCAGCCCAGGTCACACAGGAGGCCCTGGTCAGCGTCTGGGCCTGCAGGCCTGGCTCCTGAGTGCAGGAGGTGCTGGCATCATGGCAGGGAGCCCAGTGGAGGATGATGCCAGGACACGGAAGGCACCGGATAGGGACAGACTGAAGCCTGGAGCAGGTGGAGTTCTGGAAGTCATGCCTCCCACACACCACTTCTTCGTCATCTCCTGTCCTGGAGGAAGGAATCCCACCCCCATCTTACAGATGCTGACTCTGAATCTCAGAGAACTAACCACATGCCCAAGAGGGGCTGAAGACAAGTGTGGACCTGGGTCCGCGGGCTTCCCCTTGGTGAGGAAGGCCGACCTGGGGCAGGGCTGGAGGCAGGGGGCTGGACTGGGACTGAGAGGATATGAGTCTGGAGGTCGCCCGGGTGAACCACAGTGGGCGAGAAATTCTGGAACTGCACCGAGGTCTTGTTGCCGTAGAAGAGATACATGCGACCTGCAGTAGGTGGGGGAGGCGGAGCTCCATCTGAGTCCTCTAACCATTCCCCAGCTTCGACCTACTCCGAGGTCTCCCTTCGAGCCATCCCCACAGTCCCCCGGAACGTACCCAGGTTCTGCCGGAACTCTGACTTGACTCCAATCTGCAGCAGCTGGTTCTCGAACAGGACTCCGTTGTTCTTGCACACGAACCTGGGTGGGAGCGGCAGGGGCGCAGGATGACGGGGTGCCAGTCTGCACCTGGCCCGGGTGCTGCACCTGTCCCCATTCCCCACCCCCACCTCTCCCAGGACTCACTTATTCAGCAATTCGTCAGCTTCCGGAATGGGAGGGCCAATGTCCTCAGGACCTGGGCTGGAGGCAGGGAGCAGAGTGAGATTGGAAGGGACTTGGTGGGGAGAGGCAAAGGCCCAGGGCAACTGAGTGTGAGATGACAAGCCCTGAAAGGACAGAACCCCAGAACCACATATCCAGACCCCTCGTAGAACCTCAAACCCATCCAGCAGTGGCCTCCAGTGGGAGTGGAACCCTGGCCCATGCTCCCGCACCAGCAGACACCATGTTTCCCTTTCCTCCAAGTCCCTGACTCTGCTGCTCATCAGGAACCCCTTGACAAGAGCTCCCAGTCCCCTAATTCTCCCTTGGACACCGAGTCTACTCCCCCACCCCCTACCCCAGGCCACCCCTTACTCAGCAGCTGGAGCTGGGTCAGCCAGCAAAGCCATGGGGCTCTCGGGGGCAGGCGGCTCCAGCTCGCTGGGCCATCCAATCCCAGAGCAGACAAGACAGGTGTGGCAGGCAGCCAATCCCAGAGAGGCAGCAAGAGGGCCGAAAAGAGAGAGAGAGAGAGAGAGAGAGGAGGGAAAGAGAGAAGGAAGAGCAGACTGAGAAACGGTGACAGGAAAGGAGAAAACAAAGGGTGGCCAGGGACGACAGAGTCCAGAGTGGCAGAGGGAGGGTGTGAGCAGGGAGGCTGGGGCAGGGGAGGCAGCAGCCAGGGCTGGCAAAGGCACCGGGATGGAGAAGAGCGAGTTGGGGGCTGGAGAGGGGCTCAGGGAAAAAGGGGGCAGAGGCCAAGAAGGGGCAGCCGTGGGGGTGGCCGAGAGAAGGGACCCAGGCCCAGGGGATGCTACCTGAGGAAGGCCTCCTCGGGGGTGGGCCCCAGGCTGGGCTGGGCAGCGGGGCCATCAAAGACGTCCACCAGGAGGTTCCCTGCACCTGCAGACGCAGGGGGTGCTGCCGGGGGAGGGGCTGCCCGCAGCCCCAAGAGGTCGGCGGAGGGCGAGGGCGTCGACTGCAGGGAGCACAGGTGTCATGGTGAGGACAGGCGGCGCCCTGGCCAGACCCTGCCCCAGGCAGCCTGGCAGGCCCACCCCAGGGGACTCACCACGGTGCTGGGGGTGGGTTCTACACCCCCGTTGATGTCGTTGCTGCTGGGGTCTCTCCGGCCATCGTCCAGGGCGCTGGCAGCCCCAGGCCCCTTCTTGCGTTTCAGCTTGGCCAGGATGGACGACTCACGCTCAGGGAAGGGTGGCATCTCCTCCAGCACCGTGGCCTGGTGTGGTCGGGTTGGGGAAGGTCAGTTCCGGTCAGGAGAAAGGGAGGGCGGGTGAGGGGAGGGAAGCAGGGGTGGGGGCCAGGGC